GAGAGAGAGAGAGATGAGAGGAAGGAGTAACAGAGATAAGAAAGAAAGAATTTTTTTAAGAATAATATTTGTTAGATAATATAATTGATTCGAGATTGAAAAAAATTGATCAAGCAAGAGAAACGAGAAAAATGTGAAATGGAGAATTTGAAGTATTTTTCTATAAAAATAAAACAAATAAAAATCAAAAAAAAAAAAAGAATAATAATATAATCCAACGAAAGTAACGTCTTTCACGCCGTGAAAGAGGGAAAAAATTGGAAAATCAAGGAAGACGATAATCTCTCTCTCTCGCACACCTGAAAAGTCACAAAGTAACATCCTCCCCTGCATCCTGGATAAAACCGCAAAATCAAAAAATCACAGAGAGGGCATCGCCAGCTGCGAGAGGTGAGGATTATTCCTTTCAACGGGAAATCTCGGAAGAAAATGGAAAAGGGAAGAGCGCGAGTTTTTCAGCGCGTCGCGTAAAAACGTTTTTCCCGCCTTATTCGTCGGCCACACAGACTCGAGGGGTGGAATTGAAGCTGGGATCCCCCTACCCCTTGGCATGGCGAAACGTCTGGGTCGTTAAGCCGGCAGGGATTTTATCGTGCATGTTCCACGGTCAGCCGCGTAACCGGTATTTCTACTGTCGTTGACGCTTAGTCACAATGTCTACCTTCCTGTTTCCGTCCGCCTTTCGTCGTCTTTGAGCGGTCCGCCGTGTCGCTCGAAGCCGTGCCCCGTGTTTAAACCTTTCCAGATTCCTCCCTTCTTCGCCGTTTCGAATAAAAACTGTAATCCCTTGCCGCGACGAATCTCCCACTACGGGGGAGTAAAACGTGGTGGAATATCCTGTATTCGCTTGTTAATTCGTCCCATTCGAGAAATGGACGAAGAATGAAAAGAGAATTAATTTTTTTTTTTAATCAGAATCGAAAAAGGAAGGGGTCGACGTCTTGAATCGAGGAGATTAAATAACATTTTGAATTTAAGCTTTGGTGGATTTTGTTATTATTGGATTTCTTTTTAGGAAAAAAAAAAAAAAATGTGACGAACACAAAGATTCCGCTATACTGCGTTAGAAATTATTTTCGTTTCTAAGCGTGTAAGCATGAATAATGCGATGCGTTGTTGATGTTTGTTTTAAATTTGTTTTAATTATTTATTCTAAATATATTATTTTTTCCTCTTAAAAGTTAATATCAAGTTGCTCGATCAATAACGAACAATCAAAGGGGCGGGTATAGGTTTATGTTTGCGTATCGTTTCCTCTTTTCCAACCAGAGATTTCTTTGCATCTCTCCTCATTTCTTCTTATTCAGAAGAGGGATCTAAGAAACTCGTTTCGTTTACATGAAAACATTCGAATGCTTCTTCAACGGTAATCCCTTCATTTTTTTTTTTTTTTTTTTTCCCCACCAAAGGGCGGTGTGCCAGTTTAATTAAACTCGTCATTATCGTTATTTTTCGAATAACGGTAAATGATAAACAAGAGAGATATATTATTCCTTGCGGTGAAAGAGGATAATGAAGGAAGAAGGAAGAGGAAGGAAACGAAGGAAATTTATCCAACGACGTGGAAATTTTTGATGGTTGATGTAATTCCTGCAAACGTATAAAGTGAAATATTCGCGTGTTTCATAAATATGTAGAGGATGCAGGAGATTGAGACGAGTCTTTTTTTTTTAAATTAACAATTTTACTTCTTCTTAGTTATTAATACTTTGTTTTCATAGAAATTTTAATAGAAAGTCGTCTCAAGCGTGCCGTAAGAGCGTCAATAAAACTGCATCGATAATTTCATTCCCATTATTCCAAATCGCGTTTGCCAGTATTAATTATTTTATTACTATTCCATTTATAATAACAAATATCAGGATAAATATCCGCATATTTTAATTTTATACCGATTCGAATATATGAATATTTATTATCCTCATTCTAAATAATTCCTTTTTTATCGCATCACACGTCTTCTTTGCAACGTATACAATGCGTTTAACCAGTTCTAATTATTTGTTCTATCAAAGTTGATTAAAAGAAAATTAATTTCAGAAAAATTTATAAAATGGATTTATAATGGAGAAAAATATCAAGTTGTCCATCGAATCGTTGCTATCTTCATATCATGTTATCATTTCTTTCATTTCTCCTTATCAAGAGAACGAACGTGCTTGTAATTATTATCATCCCCCTCTTCTTTTGCTTTTCGTTCATCTCATCAGAGACTCTTTTCCTTTATCCTTTGTTGGCCGTTATATACGAACATCTTGAACGACGAGAAAAATTTGATTTCCTCTATTTTCGATTTCCTTCATTATCGAGTCTCCCTTCTTCCCCGTCCTTTTACAATTCGCTCTTTTTCTCCTTCTTCGCGAGAAGAATCGCGTGAACGAGAGTCTCCCTTTTGCCACGTATGTGCACGCGCCTCTGTTATAATTACCACCTTTGAAGCGCGAAATAAAGTCGTAGAACCGATTGTTATATTCACTTGTGTTATTTAAGAGGGAACAGTGAGACGATGACGCGATAAATAAACGAGAATCTTTTGGCTTATGGCTTCTCCTTGGACAGAATCGTTGGAGAAAGAATCGTGAGAATAAAAAATTATTTTTTATAAATTTTCATTTTCACAATCTTCAAACATTCGAATTTTCTAATATCCTTGATATTTTCGAATTATTAATATTAATATCTTTCGAGTTCTCGATCGAACAATTTTTTCACTCTCTTCAAGTTTGAAATATTTGAGATTTCATGGTACGGAAAATTTGTGAATTTTTTTAATATTCAGACATTTTTGGAAATGTACGAAATATGGGGGAATTTATTATAAGAAAAAGAGAAATACTATAGTCTTTTTGTTATGTAAAATTAATGGATTATGCGATGAGAAAATTAATGCAAGTACATTGAATTCGATAATAGCTTTTAATTTTCTGTATAAAGAGATTCTTACGTGGAATGTCTGACCACGCATCGGTCAATACTACTTACTCAGGCGTTCCAGCCTCGAAACGTCTTATTTTCTTTAATAACACGTCAATTAAGTTATCGCGCAATATTTAACGTAATTTATAGTTCCTTTATCTGTCACCTTAATTAATCACCTTAATAATTACCGGTCATTTTTTTTTCTATCGCTTCAAAAAAAGGAAAAAAAAAAAAAATTAAAAAAACAACTTTAATCCGAATATGCGATTTAAAATTTCATTTCCAAGGAAAAACAATGAGTTTTATAATCGTTCTGTTTCGAGATAGAGAGTGTACTTTAAAAAATAGAGAGAAAATTTCACGAGTTTAATCGCTTTACCACGTTGCTTACCAGATTCTGATTCTTTTATTTTCAGAGTCAGCGAGGCGTGAGTGTCTACGCGAGTAACAGTTTTCCGGCTCGATTCCTAAAACTTTCACGGTTATTCGCCCGACAACTTCGTGAGAGATTGTCTTCTCGTATATAGGGAACGAGAGCTGATGAATAGCGAACGGAAGTCGATCGTCTCGTCGGATCGGAAGCTGTGAACCTAGAACGTTCTCACGATTCACCAAAGTAAGTTTCACCATTTTAGAATATTATTTTTTCTTACCATCCTCTTCGCAGATCCGATACAATACTGAGAGTGAATTTTTTTTCGTTCCAATTTCGGGGGAGGGGGAATAAATAACGCGTGAGAAATTTTAAAAGACTTTAAAAAAGACTTTTACTTTTAAAAACATACAACAAAGTGCAAATATATTTTTTAACAATCGTAGGACAAACACGATGGCACAATTTCTTAATTATTCACACATAAATATCTTTATGCATTGAAAATGTAAACCGTGCAATTTCTGTTTCTCTGAAAATATGGAATTTTTTTTTTTTTCTAGAATAAGACCAGTTCTAAGTCCATCCTCTCTATACACGTCTTGTTTCGCTTTTGAACATTGGTCATTCGAGGCGAGTTAAATCGAAGGAAAATTGGTCGTGCTCGATAGGTGATTCGATTTTTATGCTTGATTGCGATTTAACGATGCATGGTTGGTTGCACGCGACCAGGAAACGCGGAGGACACATTTAATTAACTCGATAAATCGGACGGTTGTAGGGCCTGCTCGATGCTTTGATAATCATCCGCCGCCGATAATTTCTGTAGCGTCGTCGATTCGCGCGTATCTTAAGTTAATAGGTCACTGCTTACGTAAGTGCTTCGAGATGCACTTTCGAGTAAGCAGAAATCCACCAACGGAATTGCCTTCGATTTAACGAGCATCGTTTGTCATTTCGTTTGAGCAATAGTGATGCCGTTCCCCAGCTACTCAGTAATGAACAGAATATGAGAATTTATTCGGAATCTTTTCTCTCGAGAGGGAGAGGGAGAGAGAGAGAGAGAGAGAGAAAGAATTATATTCGAAAATTTGTTTAAAAATTTAGTAAAACAATTTAAAGATATTTTTTACTCGTAATTATTATTTTTTTAGGAAATTAACATTTTTCCAGACATAATAATGATAAATTTATCCACGAATAACAGAAAGGTGAGTTTAATTAAAATTTAGCGATTGCTTAGTTTAATTTATCACGTATAATTCTCTAACGAATCGTTAGGTATATCTATAACATTAATTTCACAATATTGTTGGGTACACGTTGTTTCATCTGTACTCGATAAATATAAATACACGTACCATTTATTATGGTCGATGTATATTGGCGAATCAACAATAGAAGATTCCTAATAATTCTGATGAAACATTTATTTAGCGAACCAATCCGCATAATGGACGTTTCACGAGTTCACCGTGCGCCCAATATGGGCGCTTTGATGACGCTAATTTCAGTTCTGTCATTCGTGTACGTGTCCTGGGACAATAATAGCTCGGTCTGGTGAATTCAACCACATGTTCTGCAAGAACACTTCGTTGCATCAGTGTAGAATTACAGTTACTCTCTTCTAATTTCATATTTTATCGCGGTAAAATATACTCCAGACTCTAAGTCTAAATTTATCATTTACACGATAAAAACTTCAAAGAGGTTTACGTAATTTCTTCTCGTTGCTTTGATACAAATTAACGATGTTACTATTTTTTTTTTAGATTCTGCTCTAATTACTTTTCTTTAACTAGAAAAATTCCAAGATATTTATACACCAAGATATTAAACCATCTTTCTGCGATTAAACGATTGAAAAAAAGAAGAAATTCTACATGGACTGCTTCACGTAAAATTTCTTTCGTCACCTGTTTGACTTTTTGGCTCACGCTAATCTCAGTGTCGCTAATAGACAATGGATACCGTATCTCACAGGGTGCACACGTGTTCGAACCGATACGCGATACCATTGGGCCGAGTATCCACGCCTGGCCCAGTCCTTTGTATCCTTCGAACAAAGGATTCGAGAAAATAATATATTATTCCTCGAATAATAAAATCGAGTGGAAAATCGCGCTGAAAATCCAAAATGGAAACTTGTCCTCTTTGACGAGTGCACGAGTTGACGCTAACCATTTTCCTCGGCTCCCGTGGCCCAACCGCGTTAATTAGCTTAATAAGCTTTGAGAGGATCCTCAAATGGATGGTTTACGACGACCATTCGATTCCCTTTGTAAGACGATGCTGTATACTATTTACTCGTAAGGGATGTAATTTTGGCAAGATGATAAGAACTCTTGTATAATAAACGTAACTTTAATTTTGTGTATGTAAATTAGTCGGCCAAATAATGAGAGAAAAGAAAAATTCTAAAAAGATACGCTAGTTTTAAATTATAGTTTGGTCTACGGAATATAACCTATGACCTCTGATCTAATTTAACTTTTGAACCTTGTGTCGACTCGAGTTAAATTCTTCGAGCTCGTTTATTTTTAAATAATACGTTTTGGAAAATATAAACTAACTTTAATCTTTCACGAAGCTCGTGAAACTAATACAATATACTAATATCGAGAAACTTTAACAATAATTTTGTAAATTATATATTTCTTATTTAAATTTCCTATCGATTTTCAACAACTTTAATCGAAAAAATAAATAGTGAATCCGTGCAATTAAATAAAACGCGAAAAAAAAATTTCGTTCTTTTTCATCGTTAATCAGCACGCGAAAGAAAACCACTAGGAAGTTCCTAGCCATCCTTTGATCTTCTCCCGACCAAAAAGATCCTTTTTTTCCCCTCTGCCAGCTGTCCCGATACTCGCTGACGTTCCGGTGTTTCCAATTAACGTCGAGAATCGCGACTTCCAGTCGACGTCGCGTTTCCTTTTTCACGAGTGCAACCGGTAAATTACTTTTTAAGTGTCTCCGTCGGCATTAAGAGCGACGACGTTGCTTAACGAGTGTCCAGCTGTGCTCTAACCTCTCTGCGATCCACCTGATCGATCATTCTTCTAAAACTTTACTTTCGCAAATTTTTCCATCCAAAATCTCGCCTTGCATATCGTTAATATTCTTCTTTTTCTTATTCCCAAATTGAGGAATAAGGTTAGGTTTGGGTTAGGTTCAGGGAAATTTCTAGGAGATGATAAAGTTACTCGATTGCATTAACAATTTTTGCAAGAAACGTACTTTTAATTGGATTTTTCTTTAAAATTCAAAAATTTGTAGCGGAAAGGCGAAAGGTTCGAGCTTAAATCGGATAGGTTTTTTTTTCAAAGAGCAGCGGATAACGCGGTAAATTTAAATGGAAAGTAAATTGACTTTTGATCTAATAGCCAGAGGTAAAAGGTTAAATCAAGAATTGTCGTTTTTTTTTTTCTTTGCTTGCCAAACACAAACGAGAAACGAAAAAGTTTGATACATTTCGAACATTCGTGTTTCTACAACAAAGTTTGTTTTCATTCAGAAAAATCGATCAGATCTGCTATTTAAATTTCTCAAGGTTACATATTATTCTAAACACGATATATTCAAATGATAAACAAAATGAGATGGATAAAACGAAGATCAAATATAAATATATTTAACAACGTGGAAATTTTATTTAACATTGAAGTAAAAATTGGATTTAATAATCAATCCATTCGTTCAATTCAAATTTTGTAAATTTCCTTCCATTGATTCAATTTGTGATCATTTCACTTTCAACTCGAATCAACTAAATCCAACGATCACTGAAACTTAGAATCACTCATGATCAACGAGACACTCGAATATCAACAAAACCTTTCCATTCGATTACGGAAATGCAAATTCTCGAAACAAATTAAACTGTCTATCCTCCCCTCCCCCTAATGTATATCCCGGCTGGAAAAATTGGACAAGCGGGGTAAGAGAGAGAGAGAGAGAGGGCAGATCTTGGCAATCATAAGCAGCCTGATCCTCTTAAATATGAAGAATGGTATCATCCTTCCACTCGAGGCGTCATCTTCAAACACGCTGACTCGTCGACGATGAAAAAGCGCCCAAGAGCGTAGGTTAAACGTACCACGGTAAGGTCACGATGGCCGCGATTATCGTGTCTGCGGCTTCCAAGATATCTTGATGCAAAAAAAATTCTCTCGTTTACTTACTCACTTGCTGTCTCTTCTTGCCTTCGCTTCAACGCGAGAGGACGAAGTCGAATGAATTCTTAAGCGCGATCTTCGCTTTTCCTTTTTTTTTTTGGCAGGGTGGAGGGGGTTTGATCGCCTTTTCTTTTGCCCCTTCTGAATGTAATGAAATAACGCGTGCAATTCTAAAGAAACGAGAGAAAGAGAGAGAGAGAGAGAGTTGTTCCTTTAGGGATAAATAATTTGAAAGGGAAGAATATTTTTCTGGTTGATTCGTTGATACGAACACTTTACTCTTGTATCAAAGATGTTTAATTCTTCGTAAAAAGTATGGAGATAATTTTTAAATTCCTCGAGTCTTTGAATCGAATCTAAATGAAATTTAAATTATACACAATTTAATGATACACGATTTAAGATTTTGTTGAATAAAATTGACACGCGTAAAAGGATGGAGAAGATTTTTTTACAGATATTCTCTCTCTCTCTCTCTCTCTCTCTCTCTCTCT